CCAATAAGTCAAACAGATATTCAGTAGGGAATGAAACCAGCATGCATGTTACATTTGAGGAAACTGATGTTCAAAAATGGTAAGCAACTTGCCTAACTTCTCTTTCTCTCCCCTCCCTGCCTCCTTCCTTCTCACTGTATTATATTTCTCTTAATAATATGTTGGACAATTAAAACATATGCTTATGTTCCAACGTGGGTTTAAAATCTAATTCATTAGATCAGGAGGACTTAGAAATCTTTTTTTAAATGTCTAAGAGACATTGGATTTATTGATAAATTCCTTTTAAATATTCAAGAGGCAATAATGCCATTCTTGCTTACAAAAGAAATCTTTTGAGAGCTATTGACAAATCAATTATTTAATGAGTGCAGTTCAATGGTTTTTAAGTACAGTCTCAGAATAGTGCATTTTTCACCATAATCAATTTTAGAATACTTTCGTTTTCATTTTCTCACATAGAAACCCTGAACCCTTAAGCCATGAATTCATTTCCTCCCAACCTCCCTTGATCTAGGCAATCACTAATTTACTTTCAGTCTCTATAGATTTGTTCCTTCCGGACCGTTCATATAAATGGAATCATACAATATGTGTTCCTTATGACAGGCTTCCTTCACTTAGTATGTTTTCAAGGTTCGTCTATATAATAGCATGGATGATTCATTCTTTTTCATTGTCAAATAATATTCTCAACTCAAAATGGATTAAAGAACTAGACATAAGACCTGAAACCATAAAATACATAGAAGGAAATATAGGCGAAACACTACGTGATCTGCATATCAAAGACATCTTTACAGACACATCACCCAAAGCAGTGATAGTGAAGGCAAAGATCAACAGCTGGGACTACATCAAATTAAAGAGCTTCTGCACAGCAAAAGAGACAATAACAAAAACAAAGAGAAACCCCACCAACTGGGAGAACATTTTTGCACCCAACACTAATGATAAAGGACTGATCACAAAAATCTGCAAAGAGCTGATGAGACTCAGCAACAACAAAGAAAATAATCCAGTCAAAAAATGGGCAGAAGAGCTAAAAAGAAACTTCTCTGAAGAGGAAATGCAAATGGCCAACAGACATATGAAAAAATGTTCAACATCACTTGTAATCAGGGAAATGCAAATCAAAACTACCATGAGATACCATCTTACACCAGTGAGAATGGCACATATTAAAAAAACTAGCAACAACAAATGTTGGCGAGGGTGTGGAGAAAAAGGAACTCTTCTGCACTGTTGGTGGGAGTGCAAACTGATCCAACCACTATGGAGAGCTGTGTGGAGATTTCTGGACCTACTAAACATACAGCTTCCATATGATCCAGCAATTCCACTCCTAGGTATTTACCCAAAGGACACAGAAACATCAATTCCAAAGAACACCTGCACCCCTATGTTTATAGCAGCACTATTTACAATAGCTAAGCTTTGGAAATAGCCCAAATGCCCAAAAATAGATGACTGGATCAAGAAGATGTGGTCCATATATACCATGGAATATTACTCAGCATTCAAAAAAGATAAACACATGCAATTTGCAGCAACATGGATGGTGCTGGAAGGGATCATGCTCAGCGAAATAAGCCAAAAAGAAAAAGAAAAATACCGGATGGTCTCACTCATAGCAGGAATCTAGAAAACTTAAATAAGGGACCGGGAAAATGAATAACTATAAGAAAGTGAAAATCAAAATCAACAAAAAACTATGAATCAGAGATACTTTTTGGGGGGCGGGAGGGGAGGGATTGGGGTCAGAATGGGGGGTTTGCAATTGTATGGGGGAATATAAAAATAAAATTTATTATTAAAAAAACAAATAATATTCTCTGTGTGGATATATTATATTTTATTCATTTATTAGTCAATGAACAGATCAATATTTGGGTTGTTTCCACTTTCTCCTATTATAAACAGTGGTGCAATTAAGCTGTTGTCTTTGTGTTATCTTTATACTACCTATAGATTGTGGATGCAATTGGCTTGGAAGATCTGTACTTAAAAATATGTGCCATCAAGGAGCCTGGTTCAGGGCAAGTCTGTAACTTCCAATAGCATAGATCAGGATGGAGGCAAGTTTCGGGTGCTTTTGGTGTATGGGTAGTGTTATAAATGTGTAGCCTGCAGAGGGAGCTTCAATTATAATACACATGAGAGAATCTTTCTCTAGTGATTCCTACATTTGATCATGGTCCATTCCAATCATTTAGAAGAGAGAAGAACAAATAATGGAGACCTTAACCAGATAAGTATGACTTTTTAAATTCCTGCTGGATTTAACATTCTAAGTAAGGATGCATTCAGGACAAATAAACAACTACACAGCACAAAACAAAGAAATCTTGAGAAACCTCTAAGTGAAATGGGGATAAGAGGAAACTTTTGGATTTAATCTTACAGGACATTGAAATTCAGAGACCATTAAATTGTGTATAAAGTACAATCCTTCTTTTTGCCAGACGGAGAAGTTTCCTGATTGTACTCTTGAGATATTATAAAGCATTTCTAAAGCTGTTGTTAAACTAGAGAACTGTGGATTGGTAGGTTTTCAAGTAAGTTCCTCCAGACTTCAGTCTGGTCTAAGGCTTCCTGTTTTTACAATTAACTCCTCATGTTTCTTTGTTGAGTGTGTATGTGTGCGCGTGTGCGCGCGTGCGTGTGCGTGTGTAAAACCTAAAGACAGACCAGGAAGCATCTGGGGCCATCTGGCTTTAGAGGGGAATCCAGATTTCTGTGAGGACTAGCTACTAAATGTAAACTGGAAACTGATGCTATCTTAATGCACAACTCCTGTGCTAACCCTTCAGTCATCATTGTCCAGAATGCCCTTAACTTGTACTTTGCCTTAAAACTTTTGGTCTTGAGTCTATGAATGAAGAAGGTTGGTCTGTCTTAAAACCCAGTATGGTTTTGTCAAATTTCTGAGATTAAAAAAAAAAAAAGGATATGGAAGCATTGGGCTGCTACTGCAAGCAATGCTTATTTCTTGGTGCTTGCTCTCTCTTGGTTTACACTTCTAAATAAAGAATTGTGATTAAGAACGAGTCATCAAAAGCAGAAGGAAAGAACTGTGAACAGCAAGGATGGCCCAAGTGTTGTGTACTGGCCAAGACAATGCAAGTTTCTGTACACCACCTAGTAAAGTACCATATGAAATGCATCCTCATTTTAATTAAGATAATTTTGGAGGGCATTTCTCTGCTCTCTAAGGCAAGATCCTTTATCTGTAACTGAAGTAAATTAAGAGAGATTACATTTCAAGTTTTTTTTCCTCCCCAAAAAGTCTTCAGTTGAGGGGTGGGGGTATGATGATGAAAACATCAGTAACATTTATACAGCACCTACTAAAGGTTGGTATTTAGCTTAACCCTATTATTACTCCTGCTTTACACATGAAGAAAGCAAAGCACAGACAAGTTACCTAAGTGCCTGGGCTCACACAGCTGGTAAGTTAGGAGCCTGAATTTGAACCAGGCATGGAGACCGTTAGTGCCCGGGCTCTCCACTACCTAATTAAGAAATTGTGCTGTTTCTTAATTTAGTGTTATGACAAAAACATTTTTACTGCTAATTTTAAATACCATGTAAGGACTCAAAGTAAGTGTAAACAGCACAGATTGCAAAGCGTTAACACTGTATTTTCTAAAAATATTTTCATATGCCCATGTGGTCCTAGGGAAAAGTCTTTTCCTTCGAAACGAGAAGTAACATTTGATTTTGCTGGGGAACTCTTAAAATGATTTTGATGGTTCCAGTCGTGCATAGCATAGAGATTTATGACAAATATGTCATCTGTTTATTTGTCGCCCAACTTGGATGACTTCCAAATGTTTTCTCCTAGTAGCTCTTGATTTTGTTTGAATTTTTTTCAATGGCCAAATCGTCAAACAATGTCTGAATCACGTTTGCTGCATCAGGGAATACCAACATGTTGAAAGACACCTTTGGGAATTTAAAATCCAACTGCGTTCACTTACAACTTTGAGGAGCATTCATACTCCAGTGGACTGGTTTTTTAAAAGGAGAAGAAAACAGGAAAGGGGGGAAAAAACAAGTTTGCGGCTCGAGTCCCTCCTCTGCCGTTTGCTGCAGGGAGCTTTCCTATTCCGTTTTGCTGGCGAAAACGCGCGTAGCAGATCCCCTCAAACTGCGGGGGGTGGGAGGAAGGCTGTCTGCATCCCGCATGTTTAAAAGAGAAGGATTTCATTCCCCGTCCTTCACACATCAAAGAAGGCACTCGGGGAGGAAATAAGCCATAATTAGGCCTGAGCAAGAGAGCAGACAGACCCCTCCTCAGCCTCTCCCGTCCCCGCCCCCCAGGCCTGGCGGCAGGCCCGGGCGCGCGCGAGACGCCGGCCGTCGCAGCAGCTGCATCGAGGGCGCGTGCACGCGCGCCGCCGGGATCTGGGCGGCGGCGGGCCGGCCGGGGACGCGCTCGCGCGCTCGCGCGCTCATGCAGCGGTTTTCTTCTCGCCTTCCAGAGTCCGCGGCGCGGGAGGGGCGGGAGCCGGCGGAAGGATTCGGGCGCGGAGGGAGCGGCGCGGTGCCTTGCCCTGAACGGCGGCTCGCGGCGCGGCGGGCGCGAGGCGCGGGGTGTGCTGCGGCACTGCGGCTCCGGGGCCGTTACTCCGGCTGCTCTGGAGAGGGCGGCGGGGAGGCTGGAGCGCGGCCGTGATTTTGTGCCGGGCTTCGCGGGCGCGCTGAGGAGGCGGCGGGGCTCTGGCGGCGGGGGCGCTGGGCACACGCTCGCACGCCCCCACCCCCAGGAGGGCACGGGCCGGAGGCGAGGCCCGCGGCGCGGGGGCATGGTGTGGGCGCGGGGCGCGGGGGCGAGCCCTGCGGGCGGCCGCTGAGGGCGGGCGGGCAGGGGCGGCTCCGCGGGGTCGCGGCGGCTCCATGCCCGCCGGCGCGGGGCGCGTGTGGCGCGGGGCGCGGAGCGCGAGCCCGGCGGGCGCCCGGCGCAGCGGCTAGCGTGGGTCTCGGTGCCGCCGACCGCGGGGTTGGGTCGCCCGGGCCGGCGTCGCCGCTCTGGCCGCGCCGGAGCTGGGCAACCTTGACGGGCTTTTTGTCTCGCGCTCCAGCCCCTTCCCTTCCTCCTCCTCCAGATGCCTTTTCTCTGCCCCTCCTCGCCCGGCACACACATTGCTAGCGCAGGCGGCCGCTCCCAGCGGCTGTCGGAGCCGCTTCTCGGGGTTTCGGCTGGTTTCCCCCGGGGGTGTTTTTTTGAGGAGGGCGAGTTCCCCTCCGCCGCGATGGGATTTTCTCCCCGTTCCCAGAAGGACTCTCATTGATTTTCTACTTCTTCAACGTTTAGTGACCAGTTCCCTAGACGTATTTTCGTGGTAGTTCCTTTTTTCAAGCACATTTTTTGTAAAATGGAGAACGAGATTTTCACTCCCCTTCTGGAGCAGTTCATGACCAGCCCCTTGGTCACTTGGGTAAGTGGGGTGTCCTTTATTGTATAATTTGCTGCATTATGTGTGGCCGCGGAGCTGGAGGTGGGCGTTCATGCCTTGACGATGTGTCTGTTCTAGGTTAAAACGTTTGGACCTCTGGCTGCAGGAAATGGGACCAACCTGGAGGAATATGTGGCTTTGGTGGATGGGGTATTCTTGAATCAGGTCATGCTCCAAATGTAAGTGTCCCTTTCTTTTTTTTTTGATCTCGGCAACTTGTTTTCCTTGAAAAATTGTACGCTGTGAACTTAAAGGATTTTATGTTTTAAGTTTCTAATTCGGTTCTTTGGCCAGAAAAATTGAGGTGCTTTAAAATTGACCCTTGAAAAGGACAGATACGGTTACACGCCCAGCTCATTTATCACAGCCCAGCAGTTATACCTGCTAAAATTGTGAAACTTTTATTTTTCATTCTGCAAACCATATATTGTAATTTATTGTCTTCAGTGCTGAAAGTCCAAACCATTGTCTTCTCTTTGATAATTTGGGGGGGAAGGGGAAGAGAATGAGAATGGGGGGAGTTTTACTGTAAAGTTACAACATAGTTTCTCATTAACCTTTTTGTCTAAAAGCAAGTGGCTCAAATTTTGAATCTTGAACAAATTTCAGAGAAGAGAATGTCAAACGACAGTTGACTGGTGAGGACTGTTACTCTAGCAAGTAATTTTAATGTGTATAATAACGTCTGATTAAAAGATTTATTGTGTGAATTATTAGATTGCTTAATGTTAAATAAAAGAAATTTAAGGGATTCTTGCAGCTAATTTCGAAATACAAGTAACTGAAATCTCGATGACAGTGATTTGGTAGGTACATCATACTCTTGTGCTATTGGGTTTGTATTCAACAGGAAAGTATGCTTTTGAGATGGGAATTGAATATTGAAATGGCATTGGTAAACTGGATTAGTGAAATAAAAATTACTCCATTTTACCAGTATTGGTATAAGTATATCATGGCAGGTAATCAAACTATGACTGTTATACTTGTGCTCAAGGAAAAAATGTGTATTTAACTTTACTTCTCTTGAATAGAATCTGATTACAAGAGTAGTTTAGAACTTTGAATTTCAGGGCATTCTTACCTTTTATATATTTGGGAATTAAAAAATTTAGTGTGTTATTAATAAATAATTATTACTAGGTATAAATTATTGTTCTCCATTGATCTTACATGTTAATAGTCAATTCCGTATTGGAAATTCTTTTTCTGTATCATTTTTTTCTATTTAAAAGAGATAGAAGTCAAATCCATAAATAACTATTTTAGCAATAATTTATCAGTCTGTGTGCGCAGAGATTTGTAGTCTATGGTCAAAGAGATTTATGTGTTTTTCATGTATGTATTGATCCTATAGGTAAGTATTATAGTACTATATATTTTACAAAAGTGTCTTACATGTTTATGTACCCAAAGAAATAATGTACTATTTAAGTATGTGTATTCCTCCCCCCCCTTAAGAATGGAAAATTGAATGTAGATATAAAAGTATTTGCAGGGATAGTAAATATATTTTTGGCAGCTATCCTATGGAACTATTTTTTGTCTTTGAAATAGCCCACTATTTCCTAAGCAAAATGGTAGAATAATTAAATTGCCTTCTATTTTAGGGAACATACATGACAGGAAGGATAGCCAGTATAGTAGATACTCAGAGCTTGCTCACTGTGCCTTTTATCTTTACACAGAAAATTTTGAATTTATATGCTGAACTCTAAAAAAATAGGTGTGTTCACAAAAATAGGAAAATATATTATGTTTATCTAGTTAATCTCTAGTTACAAAAATAGGAAGATACATTAGTTTTCCACTTTAATGGTTTTCATTTTAATGATTCTCAAAAAAAAAATTAGATTTTTTTTTTTTTTTTAGTCTTGAATAATGAACCTTGATGCTAAAAACAGACATTTTAGCTTGTTTCTACTTTAAGTAGAGTTTTATATTTTAAAAAAATGTATATTTTGAAAGTAATTGTATTCCAAAATAGTGGTTGCCAGGTTGTTTTTTTGGAGGGCTAGTTCCATTCCAAACCTCAAATCTGCTTCTGTTTTCAGTTCCACCCTCAGTTTCTTTAAAAGTTTTTTCAGTGTCCTAATTCTATTCTGAATGACCTATATAAATTAAAGGAAAAGAAAATTAAGAGGAGGAGGAAGTACACATTGGCTTTTTAAAAAATGCTTGCTAAAACTAGATCACAAATTTATCTTAATGAATTATACCTAAGAGGCAACATAATAGACATGGTTTTAAAGTCTGTATTTTGCTCATTTTGAAATCATTAAGATTTCTGTTAGGCACTTTACTCAAATTAATTTTTACGTACTTTTATTACAAGTTGAAAATGTACCCACTGATTATCCCAAAAGTTAGTCTAAGTATTTATTTTTGGGGAAGAACCCTTTGTTAATAAAATTGTTGTACATATTTTTCTTTATATTTCTTGTGATTAGAGTTTGTTGAGCATCTTGAATTTTTGGGTTTGTAGTTTTTATCAAATTTGAAAAAAATTTTACCCCTTTTGGAAATCTGGTTAACATATCACCATCAGGTTGGTTGATTTCACTATTTTTTGGCTTGCTTTCACTATTTTTTGGTTGATTTCACTATTTTATGTTTCATTTTGGATAGTCTTGCCATGCCTCCAAATACATTAATCTTCTCTAACACTTTATCTGCTGTTAATTCCATCCAGCATATTTTTCATTTCAGACATTTGGTATTATCTTTAGAAATTCAGTGTCTTTCATTTCTTTGGATTTTCTATGTCTATAGTTTTCATGCTCTTTTCTTTAGCTTCTTGAACATACAGAATACAGTTATCACTGACAGTATCCATATCCATTAAGTCTATCTGCATCATTCTGGGTTGATTTTGACTGATTTTTCTCCTCATTATGGAGTATGTTTTATTGCTTTTGCATGTATGATAGTTTTTGATTGGATGCCAAACACTTGTAATTTCACCTTGTTGAGTACTGGATATATTTGTATTCCACTAACTATTTTTGTACTTTGTCACTTAAGATACTTGGAAACAATTTGATATTTTCATATCTTGCTTTTTTGTGTTAAGTAGTACCACTTTGTTGAACTTTTGAGGTACACCCTTCTGAATCCTTTGGCCTGTGGGAACAGGAACTTTTCTTGGACCTCTGTGAGCTCGATATTGGTCCCTCTAATCCTTTTTGGTATTTCTTTCTTTATCCTTGGGTAGTTTTATCATAAAGATGTATAAGTCCTCAGAAGACTTTGAGGGCTACCCATTGCAGATTTCTGCATCTTTCTGTGCAGCTTTTTCCTCTTAGATACTTTACCTTGTATATAACAGTTGGCATGCTGTCTCCAGACTCAATTCTGTTTCCTTAACTTCAGGGAGACGGTATCTGCCTGGGTTTCCCATCCCCATTTGATCTAGAAACTCTTTCAAGGTAGTAAGCTAGGGCAATTGTAGGGCTCATCTTGTTTGTTCCCCACCTCTCAGGGATCTATTGTCCTTTGTTGCCTGATGTCTAGTGTCTTGTAAACACTATTTTGTTGGTTTTTTTCCCCCCCAGTTGCATCAGATAGGAGGGTAAATTTGGGTTCTGTTACTCCTTTTTGGCCGAAAGTAGAAATCTGTTGATATACTTACATTACATTTTGACCCTGAATTTATTCTTAGGCTATTCCAGATGTAGCATAGAATTTAGTTATAGGAGCCTTAAAGTAGAATTTTTTTTTTTTTTTTAAATCCAGTGCGTTTAGGAATAGTGATTAGTTGATTCTGGTTTTGCCGTTTTGGATCTAGAATATGAAAGTTTAAGCTGTCTTCTCCATGTCAGTATTTACCAAGTCAGCCTTAATAATTTTAGAGCCTGTTTACTAATGTGAAATTTATTGTATTCAGAGAGTAATTCTATGTTTTATTTAGTTGCTCCTTGAATCAAAGAATCTCTGTAAGAGCTTGTGACATGGCATCAGTTTCAGTCCCCTTTAACCAATATGAAGGGGAAGCTATTCAGATATCGGAATGATAGGCTAGCTCTTCTGCATGCTGCAGGGCACTTTCCTATTTCAACCAAATGAAATCCTTTTTTTCTGAGTGCTAGTGATCATACATAGGGCTTGGTGATAGGGAAGTAGAAATAATCATTTTCCTATTTGAGATGTTATACAGCTCTGTACCCAAATTTTGACTATTATTTGCTGTGATTTTTTAAAAAGATTTTTATTTATGCATATAAGAACTGGGGTACAGGCCAGAGGTGTGGGGGGTGAGAGGATTCACCAGAGACAGAGTTGGGAACAGAACAGGCAGTTTCACTGAAATACACTGCTGAGGGGAGCAGCGGGGGAGTCAGGAGAGGTCTGTTGCGTCATTTGGGTATCTGCCTGGCCAGGGATCGAACTCGTGTTGCTGTGACTGCAGATAGCTTCATAAGTTGCGTCTTAACCCCTGTGCCACCAGGGAGGCCCTACTTGCTGTGACTTTTTAAGACATTTTTAACTTTGTAGTTAATTTTATAATCCTAAAGCTTAAAAAGTGTGCTGTTCATATTACCTAATAGTTGAAAATGGTAATGTTAGGGTTTTAGGTACTGAGAAAATTGTTACTAGTATCAGAATACTTGGAATTACTTTCTGTGATTCAACCCCATTAGATAGCTAAAGAAATCTGTACTGAAACACTTGGTGATTGTGATATACTTCTAATGGCTTTTTTTCTTTTAGAATCTTGAGTTTGAAGGGACTTTAGAAGTCATCTACTGTGAAAATCATTTTTAATTAAAACTGGCACATGGTCATTCAACTTCTGCTTAAGTATTTCCTGAGAATCAGCTTGAAGTGTACCTAAGTAAGCCATTTATCTGATAGAGGAAGTTGACTAAGAAATGGCTCTTTGTTCTAGCAATGCTTAAGATTTGAAAGCAGATTGTACTAACTTTATGACTACAATAACTCTAAAATGACATATAAAATATGCTGTTTATAATCCTTAGTGTAGATTTCTTACTTATAGTTACTTATGTTTTCTCATTGGACCTCATGGTTTAATTTTTCTCTAAAACCACACTCATGATATAGTCAAAGTTGCTATCTCATTACCAAATTTTGACTTATCCCCAGACCTTTTTTTTTCTTCCTTCCTTTCTTCTTTTTTTGCTTAGACGAACTGGGGTGTTGGCCAGAAGTGCAGGGGGTGAGAGCATTCACCAGAGACAGAGTGAGGAGCAAAACAGGCAGATTGACTGAAATACACTGCTGAGGTGAGCAGCGGGTGAGAAAGGAGAGGTCTGCTGTGCTATGTGGTAGCTCCTTGGCTGGGGATCGAACTCAGGCTTCACAGTGATAGTGCTGAGACTTAACCCCTAGGCCACTGGGGAGGCCCATCCCCAGATATTTCTCAGATGTGTCCCTGACTCTTGGATTATTGCAGGAGCCCCTAACTGGTCTTTTTACCTTTGACCTTGCCCCTCTTTAAGTTGTCTTTCATTTTTGATCATATGAAATAGTCTAAAACACAGACTTTTATCCTGTCACTTCTATTTAAAATGGTTCAATAATTTTCTTCTGCCATCTCATATAAACTTCTTTGAGACCTGCCTGCAGCCATATTTTCTAGTTTTATCTTTGCATAATACCACTCCTCAATGCATAGGCTAAGATTGAACAGACTTGTTCCCAAAGACAAACTGTATTCTCATATGTCTTTGTGCCTTTCTATACAATCTTACGTTTCCTATAACATTCTTCTACTTCCTCACCATAACTCTCTTAACTCCTGCTTACTGTCATTCCGTCTCAGCTAGCCTAGTTGCCTAGCAGTGGGCTTGATGTCCAGTAGGTTCTGACACACTTCTGTTGAATGAGTGAATGAATGAATAATAGAGAGGTTGTGGTAAAGTAGAATGAATTTGGTTTTGAATCAAACAGAACTTGGGTTCAGTTTTTACTGAACTGCTATTTAATCACTGTGTGACGTTATACAATTTACTTAAAATCTCCAAATTTCAGTTCCTGCATCTGCAGGCAAGAGGTAAAATTTCCCCGAGTAGACATGATCTCTGCTGAGGAGAGGCCAGCCTTTATTCTACCTTCACTACACTCCTCTCATCATGCCTGCCTCTTCATGTCTCCTCAGACAGGCAGTGACGAGCATAGCTGTAGTCTCCTGTGCTCTCTTTTGGTGTTAGCATCTGTCTAGCTCTGTCATCTCTAGCAAAAGTTACTTCTCAATTTCCTCATTTCTAAACAGGATAAAAAGAGAATCATGAGGTTACAATGAGAAATAAGTTAATTTGCACAATGCTTAGTACATAGTAAGTGTTCAGTAAACTGTTAACTGTTGATATCTTTATTTTGTTTCTTTTATTATTGTAATCATTCCTTTCTAGACTTCCCTTTCCTTTTTTTACCTAGCAAATTCCTTTTAATCCCTTAACATCCTCTGAGGCTCCTTGGCAGAACTAGTTGCTTTCTTCCCTATATCTGCCTTTACCCAATAAATGGTGTAAGTGCTGCCACCACTATGTTGTTCATGGTTAGAAACTAGACATTTTGTGTTATTTATCACTAGCATGGAACCTAGCATGTATTACCATACCAGCAATTGGTGAAAAGAATAAAGACATTTTATAATTTTATTAAAACTGTTTGAGGATACCCTCTAATTTTAGTACTGTAGAATTTGGTTTTTGTTTTTCAGTTTTTCTATTTTTTTTTTTTTTCATTTTTCTCTGTCTCCTTATTTGTTTTAATTACCTTTATTGGATATTTTCCCCCATCTATGTTCCGTCTTGCTTGAGGTGAGCGCATAAGAACAAGTCATAGTCCATTGCTTTGTATGGCATTACAATATACAGTGATTTTAGTTTGGTTTCTGGTAGCTTCCTGATGATGTCAACATATTGAGACATTTGTCTATAGCTTTGATTGAACTGATGTCTTCAAGAACAGTCCATAGTGATTGTCTGATTTTCTGTATTATTGCTATGTAGTTAAACTGTAGAAAGTGTTAAGAACCTAAAACTAATTGCTACATCTGAGTATTTAAACAAATTTTAACTTAAAATTTCTCCCTGTAATGTTATTAATTATGGAAAATCATTTTAGCATTAGTTTTCAGACTACATTGAGTGTGGATTTCATATGTTTTATTTATTGAGCATATATGCTAGATACACTGTTGTAAGTACTGAAAATACATCAGTGAATCAATGAAAATTACATAGTATTAGTATATGAGCAGTGGGTAATAGGCAGGAGCAAATATGGAAAATAGACGGATAGCAAGGGATCCTATCTCTGCTTGTGGTGGTGATGTCTTAAAATACGATGGAAGGGAGGACTAATTCTTACTATGCTCTTTAAGAAGACATAGTTGAGGGCCTCCCCAGTGGCGCAGCGGTTGAGCTCTGGGTTGCGAAGCTGCCCACAGCCTCTGCAGTGCCAGTTTGATCCCCGGCTGCCAAGCGAGGGTCCCACATGGCACGCAGACCTCTTCTGCCGCCCGCTGCTCCCCTCAGCAGTGTACTTAGTCAGTCTGCCTGTTCTGCTCCCTGCTCTGGCTCTGGTGAATTCTCTCACCCTCCCGCACTTCTGACTGTACCCAGTGCTTGTATAAATGAATAAATCTTAAAAAAAAAAAAAAGACATCAGTTGTTCTTCTTTTAGGATTTATGAAATAGAGCCACAATGGGCAAAAATTTCAGTGTTTAAAAATAATGTTTGAAGTATTACTTATCAAATGATATCTGTAATAATTCAGTTTAGTCATTAGTAAACTTACTGCTTTTAGACAGTTGGTGTGATACGAAGGGGGAAAAAATGGATTTGGGAGCTACATGTTTAAGTTCTGAATTAGCCATTTATTATTTAACCAATTATTGAAATTAGAATATAGCTTTCATATTCTGTTCATTCCTTTGTTATCTTTATCTTAGCTGTGTTTTTCTAGTTCAATAATTAATAAAACTACATTGATGAAGAGCATTGACTTTATTCTGAGAGGAGACCTACTCACTTTTAACACTGGTGAGACCCAGGGCAAGCATCATTTACCACAGTAAATTTTTAAAGTTTATAAACCAGACTAAGAAATTTGTTAATTATGTTCTGGTCTTTTGGCTTGGTGAATAATCTTTTATAGATTTAAAAGGGAAAATTGAGATTTAGAATTTCTGAAAATTTAGAATTCATAAACTTACCATTTAATATAAGTGTCTTGGAACCCAACCTTCTCCTCCCCACCCCCAATCCCTGGCTTTTTGTAGCACTATAAAGGAGTGTCATTTGCATGCTTGTGGACATCCTAAGTCCTTATGCCAGGAGTTGTTTCTGAGTTTTTACTATGACAAACTGCTGATGCTAGGTATGTGATACTCCCTAAGATGTGGTGTTTGCACACCAGCAAGGAGGGGGCAAGTATGGAAACAAATTGCGATGTGGTATATTGTGCTATATTTGTCTAGAGAGATGAGTAGAGAAGAGTATTTAAGGCTAGGGAAGAAGTTTGAAGAGAAAAAGGTATTTATGCAAAAGGTCTAGCTAGAATAAAGATAGATGTAGAAATTAACCTTGAAGTTTGTAATATAAGTTAAAAAAATACAAAAAGCATCACTGACAGACTCTAGGAAACAGCAACATTAAAAGCCTAGAGATTGAGGAAAGTGGAAAATTTTCACAAGGCTGCTAGGAGAAGATTACAAAGGGAAGTCAGTTGAAGAGGAATACAAGTATTGTGCAGATGGCTTATTTGAGATTTGGAAGCACACATTTGTAATGGAACCAGTCAGCATGGCTGAATAACTTATCCAGTAGTGCTTAGCTGGTCAGAAGCTGACAAAAAGATCTGTAGAGTTTATACAAACTGGAGAATTGATGTGTGTGTGGAAGGGATAGTCTCAGGTGAATAGTTGAAAATGACTAGAGTGTGAACATTAAATAAAGTGAAGAAGAAAGCGAGTGAAGTAGGATGAAGAAAGAGTACGTTTGAGAGTGAGAAAGGGTATAACAGGAGGTTGAAGTCAGAGGGGACTTTCAGAATTTGAGATTTTGGAGGTTGCAATTCTGAATGGTGATTTAGAGGTTGTATTAGGCCAAACTAATGGATTGGTAAAATGGAATGAAGTGGAAAAAAGTAAAGTTGAGAAGAAACTCTTCTTTATTCTTTATGAAGCTATGATTTCTTGATTACTACTAGAGTTAGGAAGGAGTATTTTGACTTTTTAAAAGAAAGGTGGGCAATAAGTATCTAATTTTAACAGCGTTAAATTTAAAAACTATAGTGGAAAAGAAGACTGGCAATATAAAGTTTATATTTACATAATCTTTGTATTAGGAATCAGTAATATTTCAGAATTTTTTTAAAAAGTAGTCTATTCTTAGTGTGATTTTCCTAGGCTAGAAAAATTTTTGAACTTCGCATTTTCTTTGACATGATTATTTCCTTTTCCTGGATGGCAAAAGACCCAGAGAAGATGGTTTAGTGTTAGGTCCTATCCCTTGAGTAAGATCTGGATTATTACAAAGTTGTAGAGAATGAGAAGTTGTGGAGGAAGACAAATGGAAGCAGTACTCTAATCCATTTTTCTCAAAACTGATAAAAAAGGGGTAAATTGCAGTAAAATCTGTTAGCGTAATGTTCAGAGGAAATGGAGTGCTGAATTTTCTCATACTTGAAGATTAACTTAATTTTTACAACTAAGATCTTTGCAAATGAATTAGACTATATTTCCGTCATTGTAAATAGAATGTACATATGATAAATCAGGATATCACATTTCATTTTATAGTTTTAAAATTAAGTATTTGTGTTAAGTATTGAATATATATATATATATATATAACTAACACAGATCTGTAATGAACAGTCCCAGTCATGTATTTGAAAACATCTCTGGTTATTACCTTCCCTTTGTATTTTCTTCTTTAGAATTAAAATTAGTATTTTTGGAAAATCACTTTAGCATTAGTTTTCAGACTACATTGAGTGTGGATTTCATATGTTTTATTTATTGAGCATATATACCAGGTACACTGTTGGAAGTACTGAGACTACATCAGGGAATCAGTGGAAATCACATAGTGTTAGTATAAAAGCATTGGGTAATAGGCAGGAGCAAATACAGAAAATAGATGGATAGCAAGGGATCCCATCTCTGCTTATGGTGGTGATGTCTTAAAACATGATCGACTATATGATCACAGAAGAACAAATTCAAGAACTATTACAAAAGAATTGATGG